ACAAGAGCTTTACAGCACATCGGATTCCTCCTCCAGAACGCACGCTAGAATTGTCACCATCATCGCCTCTTGACCAACATTTGCCGAGAGCGGTTCGCGGATGGCGACGTCTGCGGGCCTCACCTCGAACGGAGTTGCGAGTGGCGAGAGACGAAATCGGCCGCTCGTTCGCCGCAGCTGCTCAAGCCGACAAACCCCTTGGGGCAGCCTCCACACGCGAGATAAGCACACGGGCCCAGGTTCACGCAGCGAGAGAGGAGGCGACGGGGTCCCCTCGCTTCCGCTATCGGCAGAGGTGGAGGGAGAAACGCACGCGAAACCTCGCGATGACGTCAAAATGTCGTAACTTGTTGGCGGTGACGTGACGTCAATAGGGAGCATTGCTGTGCTGTTACGTCACCGCGCGCCGGATTGCGCGGTGACGTCATTGAACTGGCGGTTTATTTGGTGACGTTATTACGTCATCGCTCACTTCCCCCCTCCCCTCTCGCCTCCTCCACCCCCCCCTCCAGCTCCTCCTCCACAACCCCCTCTACCCCCCCTCCACCACCCCTCCACTCCACCCCCTCCTCTACCACCCATCCACCCCCCCTCCACCCCCTCCTCCACCCCCTCCCCCCCCTCCACCCGACTCCTCCACCCACCCTCCACCCCCTCCACCCCCCCTCCACCACCCCTCCACCCGACTCCTCCACCCACTCCTCCACCCCCCTCCATCCCCCTCCACTCCCCCTCCACCCCCTCCTCCACCACCCCCCCCCCCTCCACCCCCTCCACCACCCTCCACCCCTCCTCCAACCCCCCTCCACCCCCCTCCACTCCACCCCCTCTTCCCACCCCTCCACCCCCCCCCCTCCACCCCCCCCTTCAGGAGGGTGCTACTACGGATTCACAGTTGGTGGCAGTGCCGCTGCTGTGTGCAATCTCAGTTGGGTAATTTACAGGTAAATTTTCCAGCATCGGTATGTCTGACAACAATTTAATTACATTGCAAAAAAAAAATGTGTAGGTGTAATGACAGGGTGACACCTGCCGACATGCCAGGGTGACACCTGCTGACCTGGGAAGGAATTCACTGGTACAGCCACACAGGTAACAACCAATCAGAGAGTGAGGTGTATCTGGGGCAAAGGTCACAGGTGGGGGCTAGCCGAGATTCTCCGGGAACCTGCTGGAAGGTTCCACGAGAGGGCGTGGCCAGAGGCGGGGCTTAGCCAAGCCTGGGGGTATATAAGGGGGACCGGACCCGAGGCTGTGTGTGGGGTCTTGGGTCCTGGGTCGTCGCTGCTCACCAACAACTCTCTCATCCGGCCACGTGGAAGATCTCCTGCGTGGGTTCCATCGTCATCATCGTCATGCCGCCAGTCAGCCGCATGGCCGAGTTTGGGCGATGGTACCACGCCGAGTGATCGGCTGTGTGTGTAGCCAGTAGAGACGTTAATACCTAGAGTTATACTAGTGTTGGCCTGTATTGTGCCCAGTGTAAGTAATAAAGAAGTACCCTCTATCGTATTGGTTCTTTAGGTAAAGTCACGTAGAAGGGAAGTAATAAAATAATAAAAATAAAACACAATAAAATAATTCTCACGACGTTTCGGCCACAACGCAAGC